TTGGATCCCGGTTGTGGACCTACACACCACTAATCAAGCCATGCTGTGGTGGCATCCCGTATACAAAATAGAGGAAGATTGGCACAGATGTTAGCTCAGGGACAATCTTCCTCAAGCAAAGAGAGGAAGGTTGGCAACAGATGTTAGCTCAGGGCCAATCTTCTTCACCAAAAAAAAAAAAAAGAGCGAGAGAGACAGTAGGGAAGGATGTGGAGGAGTTCCTTAGGTTTAAGGAGAGAAGGACTGACAAAGGATAAGTAGAAGTATGGCCTGGTCATCATGGAGAACCCATTCAAGATGACTCATTGTGGGAAGATAGGTTTTCCTGACCCCTGAGGGTTTATCAATTTTGAAAAATGTACTATTTTGGATAGGACTTTTTCTGAAATACATTATGTATTTCCTGTCTTCTAGATTATATGCCACAGAGGCAGCATAATATGGGTGGAAAGTACTCCTGCTCTGAACTGTCTGGTGACCACCATGCCTTGTACTCTGGACAAATTGCTTCCCAACTCTGTCCATCAGGTTCCTTGTCTGTAAAATGAGGACTAGATGGTGAAGTTGCTTTCCAACTCTAACATCTTACTGTTCTTTTATTTCTCAAATACATTGTTATTAAAATGTTCTTGTTTTATTATAGATCTATTAGGATCTTGGCTTGATATGGGTAAGACAGTTTGCTCCTGAATAAAATGGCCCTGCTATGCTTTTTGAATTTCCTGTTTGTGCCTTATAGTGTTTTCTGTCACTTCTTGCTGCTATCTGTGTGCCTTGCTGAATTAGTGCCTCTCTAATTTGCTTCTTTTAATCTCCTGTGGACTTGGAAACTAGATGACTAAGCTTGTTAGAATTGTGTAACAATAAAGAGTCTCTTAGTGAGAGTTTGAGGGTCTTGTCTATGGTTAAAGTACATGAGCTGCTGAGCGTGAGCTTTATGTCTCTTATTGGCACAGAAATCAGGTTTTTTTTTTTTTTTTTGGTGAGGAAGATTGGTCTTGAGCTAACATCTGTTGCCAGTCTTCCTCTTTTTGCTTGAGGAAGATGGTCGCTGAGCTAACATCCCTGCCAGTCTTCCTCTATGTTATCTGTAGGTTGTCCCCATAGCATGGCCTGATGAGTGATGTGTAGGTCTGTGCCAGGGATCTGAACCTGCGAACCCTGGACTGCTGAAGTAGAGTGCACGAACTTAACCATTATGCCACCGGGCTGGCCCCAGAAACCAGTTTTTGATGTCTGATGTTCTAGAAAGGTTGAGTTCTGAAGAGATAATGAGTTACCATTTGATATTTATTATTAATTGAATGTGTTTATAACCATTTGTTTGCAAAGTTGAGTATCAGTGCCATAGGGACTTAACCTATTTCCATTTTCCTTTTCGCTTGCTGTCCCTTCTCTTTCTCTCTCCCAACCTGCCCTCCTCAGTCCCTTCTTCATACTTTCAGTGAAGGCAATGTTCTAGGCACCATTATAGTATTATTTTAGTCCCTCAATTTCTGTTGTTTATTTGAAACCACAGAGAAGTTTCCAGGATTAGAATCCACTGTGCAATGCTGTATATGTTTATATCTCAGTAAGGGCCCTGGTGGAGACTCTCAAATGGTATTTGGTGTTGGGGGCTGGAAGACTTAAAACAATGAAATGAGTGCTAGTACCGTATATAATCTTTGATTTATATGGAAGAAAGCAATTAAGAAGTCTTAAAAAATTTTTTTATCCAAATTAACATAGTGATAATAGAATAATTAGAAGGTAAAGACAGAAAGAAGAGAAAATATTACCCATAATCCCATAGATTACTATTGTTAGCATTTTGGTATGTACCTTCCAGACTTGTGTATTTTTTTTTTTTGAGGAAGATTAGCCCTGAGCTAACATCCGTTCCTGTCTTCCTCTACTTTACATGGGATGCCGCCACAGTATGGCTTGGTAAGTGGTGTGTAGGTCTGCGCCTGGGATCCAAACCCATGAACCCCGGTCTGCTGCAGTGGAGTGTGTGAACTTAACTGCTATGCCACCGGGCTGGCCCCCAGACTTCTGTATTTTTATAAAAATAAGAATATATTTTACGTCATCATGTACAATCTGCTTTCTCACTTAGCAATGCATCTTAACTATGTTTTTGTGTTAAATGTCTGCATCATGAGTTTTAGTCCATTGTATGAATGTATTGTGATTTATTTAACCTTTCTGTTATTAGACGTTTAGGTTATTTATATAGCTATTATGAAACAATTGCAATGAGTATTTATTAAGCCTTTGAGTACTTGTTCTATTACTTCCTTAGAATAAATTTCTGAATGTGAAATGGCTGGATCAAAAGATATGCATATTTTAGGGGCCGGCCCCGTGGCGTAGTGGTTAAGTGCGCGCGCTCCGCTGTTGGCGGCCCGGGTTCAGATCCCGGGCGTGCACTGACGCACCGCTTGTCAGGCCATTCTCTGGCGGCGTCCCACATAAAGTGGAGGAAGATAGGCACGGATGTTAGCTCAGGGCCAATCTTCCTTAGCAAAAAGAGGAGGATTGGTATGGATGTTAGCTCAGGGCTGATCTTCCTCACAAAAAAAAAAACAAAAACAGAGATATGCATATTTTAACTTTTGATACATATTACAAAATAGCCTCCACAAAGATTAAACTAATATGTACTTCCACCAAAAGTGTATTTTGTTTATGAGGTTAGACATGTTCTCTTTCCTTCCTTCCTTCCTTCCTCCCTCCCTCCCTCCCTCCCTCCCTTTCTTTTCTGTCTATCTTTTATATTTCTTCTATGGTGAATTTTGTGTTTATATTTCTTTGTTCATATTCCTGTTAGGGCATTCATCTTCCTTAATGATTTCTAGAAGTTCTTTACATATTTAAGATATTAATCCTTTATTGTGTGTGTGTGTGTGTGTGTGTGTATATATATATATATATATATATATATATAGCAGATTTTTTTTCTATTTTGTCATTTACCTTCTGTTAAGGTGGGGTTTTTGCAGATATTTTTAATTTTTGTGCAATCAGGTATGTCAGTCTTCTCCTTTATGATTTTTGTCTGCAGTCATACTTGGGAAGGCCTGAGGAAGAAGATAGGGCCTGGATTACAGAGACCCTGTGGATCTAAATTTAATCTTCGAGCAATAGGGAAGCCATTCAGAGTTTTAAGAGAGGGATGGCATGATCAGATTTTTAGTTTAGCTGGATTTGTGGAGGATGACATGAGGGAGCTGAGTTGAGAGCATTTTAGAGGCTGTTGCCATGATCTGGGTTAAAGGCAGTGAGGGTCTGAGTGGCAGAGTGGTAACAGGAACAGAGAAGAGTACAGATGAGCATTTAGGAGGTCATATCGTCAGGACTTGGTGCTTGATTGGATTTAGAGGTTGAAGGAGAGGTATGGAATTAAGAATGATTCCAGGTTTCTAGTTTGAGTGCCCAGGTACATGAGATAGAAGTGGCACTAACTGAGCTGTATTATTCAGGAAGAGAGGAAAGATTGAAAGAGGGAAGACAGGTTTAATGAGGGAAGATAATGAGTTTGATATGATCAGTCTGAAGTGTGTTTGGGTTATCTATTGCTGAGTAACAAACTGCTCTACAACCCAGTGGCTTAAAACAACAGCAATTTATTATTTCTCATGATTCTGTGGGTTGACTGGGGGCTTAGCTGGACTTCTGCTCATCTCATTTGAGGTCTGTTAAAATTGTCTTTACTCCTACCACTCTAATCTACTATATACCTGAATTCAGAACATCCCAACATGGACCAGTATATCACATTTATAACACCATGCTTCATCTTTAACAGAAATAGACATGTCAGAGAACTACAGGAAACTCTGTGGGTTTATACACAGAGCTCTGGTGTTTTTCACACCCTGGGGAATGCAGTGAGAATTGGATGAAGAGTGTGTCTTTTTAAAAATTTACCTATTTATTTGTGGTAAATGGGATAATGGCTTTGGGAAACTTGGGCAAATCATTTTTAGGAAGGAGTACCTAGGGAAGTTGAACATTATGAAATTGATTTGTTTGGAGCCATCCGTGCAGATACTTGTACTCAAGTTTGAAAAGTCAAGAGTAAGAAAAGCAATGGGCTGAGAATGGAATTGAGGTTTAGCACCACTTAAGGGATATCTTAGTAAGGAAAGCCCTTAAAGGAGACAGAGAAAGAATATCCAGAAAGGTCTGAGGAGAATTGGTAGACTGCAGTGTCTCGCCCACATGGGACCCTACAGAGTTAAAAAGTTGGAGTAAAGAAGAGGATCAGATGCTCCAGAGTGGTCAAGAAGGATAAAGACTGGAAAACGTCCGCTGGATTGGGCAATGGGATGGCATTGGCCTCGGCAAGAGCAGTTTCAGAAGAATGGTGAGTTGATGAGTGGAAGCACCAAGTTTAGACTATTCTTCAAGAAGTGTGAATAAGAAAAGGAGAGATTGTATGGTAGCTAGATCGGGAGATGCTTGAGCATATTAATAGGCTGATAGGAAGGTAGCAGGAGACAGAGAGAGAGAGAGAGGTTATAACAAGAGTGAAGGCAGTTGCCTAATGGAGCGAAGTTCCGCAGGAGGCTGGAGGAGATGGAGTTTTCATCTTTTTAAATTGCAACTCCATTCTTTTAGTTACTCAGGTCAGACACCTTTCCTCCAGTCATCCAATTGAGTCCTTTCATATTCTCAGGCCAAAAACCTCTTACCTCTCATCCAGTTTGTCAGAAAATCCTATTTGCTCTACATTCACAATACATCCCCAATCCAGCCACTTCTTACTTCCTCCACTGCTGTCTGCCTGAGTCAAGCTGTTGTTGGCCCAGATTATACTAGCCATTTCTTCATCACTCTCTCTCCTTCAACTTGAGCCTCCTCAGTCTACTCTCGATGTAGTAGCCAGAGTGATCCTGTAAAACGCAGATCATTTCGTGTTACTCCTCTGCTCAGAACCATCCAGTGACTCCTCATCTCACTTCAAGTAAAACTGTAGATCCTGATGTGGGCCTGGAAGGTGCTGTGCCCAGGCCCACCGTTACTGCTCTCCTCTTTGGTTGTGGCACTCCATCCACACTGGCCTCCTTGGGGCTCCTTACAGCAGAGTGGGTTCACGCACCACCGCCCGCCCCGCCCCGCAATGCTCTTCTAGGTAGCTCCAAAGCTTGCTCTCCCTTACCTGTTTTACTTAAATGTCACCTTCCCAGAGAGTCCTTCTCTGACCATTCTATTAAAAATCACAACCCCTCCCTTCCCCCAGCTCTCCCTATTCCTTTTTCCTGCTTCCAATATGCTCTATATTTTACTTATTTATTTGTTTGTCTCCCTTCTTTAGAATGTAAGCTTCATGAGCTTGTCTGTTTTGTTCACAGGCTAGAACCATGGATGTCACAGGGTAGGCACTTAGTAAGTATTTGTTGATTAAATAGGTGAGTGAGTGAATGAGATCAAGGCTGGTCTTTGGAAATGAAGGAGGAAATTTCACCATCTAAGACGGGAGGAGATAAATGAATCAGTGTGGATATACCTAAGTTTGTAGTGGGAGGGTGGGGTGTGTATGGAGAGATAGGAATTTAAGGGTAGTTATGGCAGATGCCCTCAGTTTTCTGGAATAAGGAGGCAAGGTTGTCTGCTGAGGATTGTGGTGAGTATGGGGCTGAGAAGACTCTTGGGGGTTTGGGTTAGTCATTGAGAGGAATGGAAGAGGGAACTATCCAAGGACAAGGAAAGGACCCAGGCCAGGATGAAGACCATGAATTGACGGTGATGCCGTTTTGCAAGGCTGGGTGATTTTTCTCTGGTAGAACTCAGGAGACTGGGATTAGGAACAGAATAGGTGGATTTAGCATTGATCCAGGTTGGCTAGATGTGATGGGAGGCCAGGGAGGTGCAGAGGAATCAAAGGAGCAGTCCAGATTGTCAACCATGGGGACAGAATGGGGAGAGAAGACCGTCTAAGGACCAAGTTGATTGATTGGGAGAAAATGGAAAGAGTCAGAACCTGGAGGATGGATGGGTTTGAAGAACACATCAGGCCAGAGTGAAGGCGTGAGAGACTGGAAGGCTTGAAGGGTGTGTCAGAAAGTGAAGGATTGACATTTAAGATTTGTATTGACAGGGTGTGGGCATGGATGTAGGTGGTTGAGAGGACCAAAGGGCATTGTAGTGAAGAAATTTAGAGGCTGAAGTATAGGAATAGGTTCTCCTTGTGGATTTTGAAACCACCCAGGATGATGGCAGGAGTTGTGGCAGAGAGGAAGCCAGGATGCCAAAGGCTTCAGTGAATGTTGGGAAATGAGTAGGAGGGTGGAGGTACAAAGGCAAGGTAGGGTGGAAGCCACAGGAGCCAGGTGGCACGAGCTCGGAGGGACGGGAATTTTTACATGAGGGTGGAAGATGGAAGGAGTAATCATCTGGAATCAACGTAGGAGAACAAGGAAAATGCTGACCTCCTGCCCTGAGATTCTTGAGATATAGGAAAATCTGGCATCAGAGGGCTGGTGATACAAGTGATGTTGGCTGGCACATGAGCAGGCCAAAGCAATTTGGATGATATATCTTTTGGCCAGATTATGGAGCTAAATTGTAGTCGTTGTTATGTAAATATAATTTATGGCATTTATTTGACAGCTTTGTGTTTCCTCTTAATAAAAGGAATAAACTTTTCTTTTACTTATATTTACCTATATATTTACATATTATATATTTTATATTTACTTATATTTAAATATATATAAATTTTTGGTTTTTTTAAGTCTCCCTTGGGTCTTGGCTTTGAGAACAAAAAGACCTCGCCTGGTCACTGTAGAGACATGCTCCGTACGTGGTTTTGAGTTTGCCTTTTGCATTTTGTTGCTGGGCGTTTCTGCTCACCTTTAACTTTTCGGCCCTCCTGGTCAGATCGGTTGCCTCTTGGTTCACTTCTGTCGCTGGCCTAATGATTAAACCTTTACATTAAGGGTTGCTGAGTGATGAAGGACCACCTCCCTGAGTCTTTGCAGCCTCTAGATAAAGGAAAAGGTCTGACTGTCAGCAAAAATGCTCCATCTGGAGTTAGAAATGGTATCTTTCACATTTCCAGTTATTAAGAACCAAAATAGTTAGCTGGGAAGTCTCCGTTAAATGCTGCCTCCTCCACACCCCTAATACTTCTAACTCCTCACTTCACCTCCTGCACAAGTGTAGGGTGCTTCTGGGAACCTCTGCTGACTTTACATGTGATTAGTTGTTCCTGATGTTCGTTCGCTCATACACTGAGGAGCACTTGGCACGTACCTCTTTAGTTGTTGTTCTATCTTACTGTATTTATTTATTTATTTATCTTTTTGTCTTCTAAGCTGTTCTCCACCTACCTCTGACCCAACTTGGACTCTTTGAGGGTACGGTTAGGTTTCCACTTATGTTTTTATATGCCCTTAGTAACTGGATCCTTAGGAAGTAGGTATTGAATTAATGCATTAAACTTAGAATATAAACAGCCTAACTCACACGTCTTGCAAAGGAGAAAACTTGCCCAGAGGATTAACTGACCTGTCTAAGGCTACTACGTTCGGATGGGATTAGAATCTATTTCTCCTCTCAAAGTTTTTGGGGCTTTCTGAAAGATTTTTTATTTTGTTTTGAAAGATGTCAAAACAACTAGGTCTGAATTGATTGTGTTCCCCAAAGTTAGGGATAATTAAACTTCTTGAAAATTTAATCATATCTTCTAGGGATGGGGCTTTCAACTTCTCATTTCACCTGTCACCCTGTTTGGGGATGGGATGATGGGTGGGACTTTTTTTGTTCTTTAATTAAGTACTGAGATTGTGGAATGAGGGCCTCGGCACAGGAAGGTTCTGTCCTACTTATAAAACTGGTAGGTTTGCTTTTTCCTTGGCCTGTACCTTTAGGACGTCCTTTTCTCTTGTGGGTGTTAACGGAGACATGAAGCCATGCACTGGGGACAGGGGGAAGGGTACTGGATAATCTCTGGCCTGGCAGGCAGAAAGCAGCCTATCTGGGGTGGTTGGGGAGGACTTGGAATTAGAAGAAAGGACATTATAATCAGGTGCCAGAAGTTCATAGATAGGTCATTTGTGGCTGGTAGGGTTGGCAGGAAACAGTGAGTCACACTGGCAGGTTGACAGGGGATTGAAAGAGAACAAATTCTTAGTAATTGCTGGGAGAGCCCTTTTCCCATTTAGACCAATGGTTCTTAATCTGGGGCTGTTTGGCCCACCAAGGGACATTTGGCAATGTGTGGAGACATTTTGGTTGTCACAACTCAGCGAGGGGTGTGTGTGTGTGTGTGTGTGTGTGTGTTTGTGTTACTGGCATCAATTGGATAGAGGCCAGGGATGCTGCTGAATATCCTGCAGTGCCCAGGACAGCCCCCCACAACTAGGAATTAATTATCTAGCCCAAAGTCAATAGTGCTCAGGTTGAGAAACTCTGATTTAGACCCTGATGATTAATTAAGTCAGTAAAACAAATGTTTTATATGTATTCTTTATTTTGAATTCTATGTTTAAATGGCCAAGTTGGATTTATTTCATCTTTTTCTTTTTCTTCTTTTTTAACTGAGGTGAAATCCACATAACATAATCAATCATTTTAAAGTGAACAGTTCAGTTCCATTTAGTATAGTCACTATGTTGTGCAGCTACCACTTCTAACTAGTTCCAAAGCATTTTCATCGCCCCAAAAGGAAATCTGTACCCATTAAATAGTTACTCCCCAATTCCTCCTTCTCTAGCCCCTGGAAACCACCAATCTGCCTTCTGTCTCTATGGATTTACCTATTCTGGATATTTCATATAAATGGAATCATACAATATATGATTACCTTTTGTGACCGGCTTCTTTCACTTAGCATAATGTTTTTGAGGTTCATTCATGTTGTATCATGTATCAGTACTCCATCTATTTTTATGGCTGAATAACACTCCATTGTATGGATATGCCACAATTTGTTTAACCATTCATCCATTGATGGATATTTGGGTTGTGTAGCACCCTTGACTATTGTGAATAATGCGGCTGTGAACATTTGTGTACAGTTTTTTGTTTGAAAAACAAAATTATTTTTCAGTTTTTTTGGGTATACCAAGGAATGGAATTGCTGGGTCATATGGCAATTCTATGTTTAACTTTTTGAGTAATTGCCCAGCTCTTTTCCACAGCGGCTGAACCATTTTACATTCCCACCGGCAAGGTATGAGGGTTCCCGTTTCTCCAAATCCTTGCCAACACTTGTTATTATTATTTTTTTTGATAATTGCCATCTTTGTAGGTGGAAAGTAGTATCTTATTGTGGTTTTTCAAAAAACGTTTTTTTTTGTGTGGTAAAATATGTATAACGTAAAGTTTACCGTTTTAATACAGACTGGTCACTCAACAAATATATTTTGAGGCCCTACTCAAAAAAGGCCCTACTGTTGAAAGTCCTGCGTAAATTATGATGAGCAGAAGAGGTATAGGCCCTGAGGAGGTGGACATTTTGAACTCTCACCACTAAGTTGTCAAGTCGTGGAAGTGATTTTAGCAGAAAGTATAGGAGGTGTAGCTATTGCAGCAGGGTTGACTGTCAGAATTTTTTGGTTTCCACTTTGTGTGTGTGTCTGTGTAGTTCCTTTCATGGAAGGGCAAATTTATAGTTTAAAAGACACAGGGAAAAAGATAATGGAGAGAAATACAAGACCCAGCAGTGAGGAGGAGGGAGGACTGGTGCGGTGCCGTTTGTCCCTGTCCTGTAGTCCACTGGGGAAATCCTGTGTTTCAGGTTCTTTAGAAACTCCCCAAGCTGGTTCTTAAAACATCTTCCATTATGGTATGTTTTTATCTTTTGAGTGATATAGATGGGACAGTTTTATTTCCTTTAGAATTGGTTAAAAAGCAAAATTGCATACTCTGCCACCCATCTGTGTCTTCTGTAAGGATCAGAGCCCAAGTGAGATGAGGTGGGGTGACTGCCTGGCAGGACTGAACTGTTCTGGCCTGCGGAGCCCCTTTCTTTGTGAAGTCCTTGAGATGTGGGCTAAGCTGATGTTGAAGTCCACACGGAAAGCACAATACCAGTGGACCTGAAGTTTCCTTGGTAGACTATGTAAGTGAAGGTTCCCTAGAATGAAGATTTTTGATAGTGCCCATGAAGAAGGAGTACAGCAGAGTGTTTGTTTTTTTCTCCTATGGTTGGGGTCTTATTATTTTCTTAGGGCTGCTGTGACAAGTGACCACAAACTGGGTGGCTTACAACAACAAGATTTATCTTCTCACAGTTCTGGAGGCCAGGAGTCTGAAATCAAGGTGTCAGCAGGGCCACACTCCCTCCAAAGGCTCTAGGGGAGGATCCTACCCTGCCCCTTCCAGCTTCTGGTGGCTCCAGGGGTTCCTTGGCTTGTGGCTGCATCACTCCAATCTCTGCCCCCATCTTTCATATGACCTTCTTCTCTTCTTTTTGTGTCTCTCCTCTGAGTGTCTTGGTCTAAGGACACTTGTCGTTGGATGTAGGGCCTACCAGTATAATCCAGGATGGTTTCATTTTGAGATCCTTAATTTAGTTACAGCTGCAAAGATCCTTTTTCCAAATAAAGTCACATTTACAGGTTTATTGAGTTAGGACATGGACTACCATTCAGTGAACTTCAGGGGTGAAGGAGATAAGGTGTTGGGAGTACAGGAAAGCGTTTTTTTTCCTGATTGGGAGAGAAGGAGACAAGGTGCTGTGGAGAGTGGCACAGCTGAAACCCTCACCTGGGCACCTGCAGTATTGATGTCACCCTCCATGGAAGCTTTTAGCTTGAAGTGCCAGCTCTACAGAGAAAGGACTGTGGTGGCCTGACCAGGCCTGGTTTCAACAGAGAGTTTACTAGACTTCACCTCACACCTATCAAACTGTCCCTATGTGACCCACATCTGTCTTCCTTCCATAAGTCCTTCCTCTTCCCGCTCATCTTCTTTGCCAGGTGCTTTCTCTTTGGTACTTTGCTTTCCTCTGGAATTTTTCTGTCCCCATCATGGGCAGTGAATGAAATAAGTATGCATTTTGCTGATTTTAATGTTTATTAAGTAACTCTGTGTTGCTTGTCTTATGAGCTGACTCAGCAGGTGATGGTGCTGGAGCCTTGCCGTGACCTTCCTCCTTCCTAGGTTTTTGATCTTGGCCACATGGTTTGGGATGTGCTTCTAGGAGCTGTTGGGACTGCACAAAGCGTGTGCCTTCAGATGCTTGCATCTCATTTTCCTTGACAAGGTACCTGTCTTACAGGGCGCCATTGGACGTGGGGAGAGGATGGGACCCCTGAGACCTTGAATCACCTGCTTCCATTGGATTTTCCTAGTTTCCCCCCAGATCTAGAGCTTGGGCCATCATATGTGGTTAAATTGCTTTGTTAAAATGCAGATCTCCCCTAAGGATAATAATACTCCTAAAGGTCCAGAGGCCTGGTCAGCACTTCTCCAAATAACACTTTAAGATTGATGAAAACATTGGCAAATCTATAAAGTTGACGTCGTAAGTAGAGTGGAGGACACAGAGGCTCTAAAATCTTTGCCTAGTTTGGAGATCATCATTGAGTTTCTTGTATAAACTGGGTCATATCTTCCACCTTGGTATGAATGTGCCAGTTCTTAATTTTTCCAAGGAATGTCCTGCCTCCTTAGGCAACATCGAGACTTGCTAGGTAAAAATTGTACAGCACATTGTTCAGTTCTAGATGGGTTGAATGGTGAAGGGGACAAGGGCCATTAAGGGAGGTAATAGAAAGGACATTTATCAATAAAGTAGGAACAAAAATGAAAGCATCCTTCCCTAGATAGTGATTCAAAAAATACAGTCCTTTTCTGGTCAAACTCCTGGGAGTCAGCTGTGCCATCCTTATAGTCATCTTCATAATAATAATAAGAGCTAGCTTTTAGTGCTTATGTGGTGAGTGCTTTACTGGAATTATCTCAATAGCTACGTGAGGTAAGTACTGTTATTACCTCATTTTACATCTGAGAAAGGTTAAGCAACTTGCCCGAGGCCACAAAGTCCTCTAATAGTAGGTTGAGGAACTGCTGACCCTAAACCCAAGCCTGTTTTTTTTCTATTGTGGTAAAAAATATATACTGTAAAATTGACCATTTTTAAGTGTACAGTTCTGTGGCATTAAGCACATTCACATTGTTGTACAAACATCACTACCATCCATCTCTGACTTTTTCATTTTCTCCAACTGATGCTCTGTACCCATTAAATACTAACTTTCTATTCCCCTCCCCAGCTCCTGGCAACCACCATTCTACTTTCTGTCTCTATCAGTTTGACTACTCTAGGTACTGCATATAAGTGAAATCATACAATATTTGTCCTTTTGTGTATGACTTATTTCACTTAGCATAATGTCTTCAAGTTTCATCCATGTTGTAGCAGGTGTCAGAATTTCCTTTTTAAGGCTGAATAATATTTCATTGTATGTATATACCACATTTGGTTTATCCGTTCATCTGTTGATGGACACTTGGGTTGCTGCTACCTTTTGGCTATTGTGAATAATGCTGCTATGAACATGGGTACACAAATATCTGTTCAAGTCCCTGCTTTCACTTCTTTTGGGTAAATACCCAGAAGTTGGATTGCTAGATCAAATGTTAATTCTGTGTTTAATTTTTTGAGGAATCACCATACCATTTTCCCCAGCAGCTGCATCGTTTTACATTCCCACCAGCAATGCACAAGGGTTCCAGTTTCTCCACATCCTTGCCAATACTTGTTATTTTGTGTGTGTATGTGTGTTTATAATGGCCATCGTACCGGATATGAAGTGGTATGTTGTCGTGGTTTTGATTGCATTTCCCAAATGACTAATGTTGTGGAGCATCTTTTTATGTGCTTATTAGCCATTTGTATACCTTCTTTAGAGAGATGTCTGTTCAAGTCCTTTGTCCAGTTTTTAATAAGGTTGTTTGTTTTGTTGTTGTTGAGTTGTAGGAGTACTTTATGTATTCTGGATATTACTCCTTATCAGATGTATGATTTACAAATATATTTTCCCATTCTTAGGGTTGCCTTTTCATTCTGTTGATAGTGTCATTTAATGCAAAAAAGTCTTAAATTTTAATGTAGTCCCATTTGCCTATTTTTCCTTTTGTGCCTTTGGTGTCATAACCAAGAAATCATTGCCAAATCCGTTGTCCTGAAGCTTTTCCCCTGTGATTTCTTCTAAGAGTTTTATAGTTTTAGCTCTTGGATGTTTAGATCTTTGTTCCATTTTGAGTTAATTTTTGAATATGTTGTATGGTAATGGTCCTCATTTTTTTTGCATGTGGTTTCCAGTTTTTCCAGCACTATTTCTTGAAAAGACCGTCCTTTCCCCCTTAAATTGTCTTGACACCCTTGTCGATTAATTATTTGACCACATATGTGAGAGTTTGTTTCTGGGCTCTCTCTTCTATTCCATTGGTCTGTATATCTGTCTTGATGCCAGTACCACACTGTTTTGATTGCTGTAGTTTTGTAGTGAGTTTGAAATCAGAAAGTGTGAGACTTCCAACTTTGTTCTTTATGAAGATTGTTTTGGCTGGTATTCAGGGTCTCTTGAGATTTCGTATAAATTTTAGGATGGATTTTTCTATTTTATTGGGAATTTGGTAGGGATTACATTGAGTCTGTAGATTGCTTTGGGTAGTAGTGACGTCTTAACACTATTAAACTTCCAATCCATGTACACGGAATGTCTTTCATTTATTTGTGTCTTCTCTAATTTATTTCAGAATTATTTTGTAGTTTTCAGTGTACTAGTCTTTTACCTCTTTGGTTTAGTTTATTTCTAAGTATTTTATTCTTTTTTTTTTTTTGGTAAGGAAGATTAGCCCTGAGCTAACATCTGTTGCCAATCCTCCTCTTTTTGCTGAGGAAGATTGGCCCTGGGCTAACATCCGTGCCCATCTTCCTCTACTTTGTTTTTTCTTAGTGGCACGCTGCCCCAGCGTGGTTTGATAAGTAGTGCATAGGTCTGCGCCTGTCCGAACCTGCGAACCCCAGGCCACCAAAGCAGAACGCATGAACTTAACCACTACACCACTGGGCCAGCCCCAGTATTTTATTCTTTTTGATGGTATCATAAATGGGATTGTTTATATACTTTTTGGATTGTTTATTATTACAAGAGAAATGCATTATCGTAGAGAAATGCAACTGATTTTTGTGTTGATTTTGTATCCTGCAACTTTGCTGAATTTGTTTATTAGTTCTAACAGTTTTGTGTTAAGCCCAAGCTTTTAACTTGCTGTGCTCTTTCTCTATCCTGTACTTTTAAAATTAATCCCTATCTCATTTTTATCTTCTTTAACTTCTCCTCTGAGTTCCTGAGGAATTTTAAGTTTTACTTTACTACCTGGATTTTCTGTAGCCCTCAATTTGGTGTTCCTTTCCTCCATTACTATTTAAATCAGCGTTCAAGGTTTTAATTTTCATTCAGTCTTTCCTGGTTTAGAAATCTTTTTTTAAATAACAGCTTACTTGAGTATCATAGTTACATTGATTCCTTAAATCTTATTCTTAACAGAGTTTTGCACTCATCACCATAATCTCATGAAAGATGGATTCTTACAGAGATAACTGTGAGTGTCTGACTTTTTCATAAACATTGAGGGAACAAGGGGAAATTTCTGATTGACTGAATTTACATTGGGGTGCCCAAGCCAGGGCCCAGCCCTTTAATGCCATTCCATCTACCAGGCATGGTGCCTGGGCGAGGGGTTGCGGGGGATAATGCCTGCCCAGGGCTCTGAGAGAGGCCCTTTGATGTGGGCCTTGACCTATGTTGTAGCAGTTCTGTGTGTGCTGCCCATGCCTCTTGCGTGTTCTGTTGGTGCTGCCAACATTATTGCCAGAACACATTGCTTCTCCATAGAAAGCTTGCTAGGACTTCTTTGGTCCTGCTCCATCTTGACTATATCAAGCAGAAATTCCTCAAAGTTATGGGCAGGTGGGATGGCATCCTTCTTGGTTTCCAGCTCAGATGCAGGTTTTTCTCTATTTTTATGTTCCTTTAGTTTCTTTTAAAGGAAACTGTAGGCAGGAGACACCTGTCTTCCTGTTACCATCTTACTCAGATTTCCTGTGAGATAGAAGTTCTCTTAGCCAACTCCACCTGGTGAGATTAACAGGCTCTCCCCATTCCTTCTGTAAAACACATGACTGCTCACAGGAGGCTGAGTGGTCCTGGCTAGTCTGCTGTCCCCACACCCTTGATGCTTCCAACCACTGGCCTGATGGATTGAGTTGGAGAAGAGAGAGCTTCTCCTGTATTACTCTTATGATTCAAGGAAAAATGAATTTTTAAAAAGAATTACTGAGTTTAGAAATGGGTTGATTTAGTATAAGTCTAATCTAGAAGGCTCTGATGATATGTTCCCACCTTTTGATGGTCATGTCCAGTAGGTTTTGCATCCTGGTAGCTAGCAGTAGTTGTTATCTGTATTCAATAAATTATTTTACCCAAAATGCTATTTTTTGGGCTTGTGGGAGTGGGAAAGAGTAGCCAAATAATGTGGGAAAGACAGACAGGTGGAAAAAGATAAAGAGTTAAAGTGGCATCAGTAATCAAGGC